TGTCTGTCATTCTATTCATCACCCCTCCCAACACTTCTCAATTCCTTCTGCAGTTCAGAAGGAGTTTTGCTCTGCACCCTCTGGAATTGGACTTCCAGCCCGGATTTAACACACCAAGGTCCTTGGGCACGCTGCAGCATGTACAAGTTGTCTGCCCAGATGGTAAATGAAATTAGCTGATGGCACTGCTGTTTAGCTAAGCTGGACACATATCGTTAATCCGCTGCCAGGCAGATTGTCTGCTCTTTCCTCTGGTCTGGGCAGTGTTTAAATCCTAGAGCAAAGCTCTATGGATTCATTAGGTATGAAAATGTGACATCCTCATTATTTTATATAATCTGGATTAAATAACCTGCAGTAAATACTTGCTTTTGTTGGATATCAGACATGGGAAAGCTAAATCACCATGGTGCTGGGTTTTACTTTTTGCTGGGTACTGTGTTGTATTGTGTTTTATGCAGTTGATAACACTTGAGATAACTCAGAACCAATAATGAATTCCTCCAGGTGCCAATAGAATTCGCTTAGGATTTTCTTATTATTTCCTCCAGTATTTTTAGTAATTTTTTTTTTATTATTGCTTCTGAGGTTGGGTCTTGCTATTGCTTAATCAATTACGTTGGAGAACCCTCCATTTTTCCAGTGTCTTATATTGAAATCCCTCAGTCAGTTTGTGTGGTTTTTTTATTAAGCCACGTAATCTTTTCACCTTCTCCTTGTGCAGGGTGTTGTCTAGGCTTTTTGGCAGAGCCCTGTATGTCTTTTTGTTCAATGCCTTTCAAATATTTGACATAAATTTAACTGCAGGGAATGTTACTTGAAACACAGTCAATTCTTTCTTACCGTGTCCAGGGCTCTGCCAGTACAGATATTTAGTAAAGCTACTGCTTTGGAGAGATGGGCAGTTTGCATGATCAAACAACTTATTTTATGAATAGAAGTGGTTATTTGAGTCACATAAACTGTTCTATAAAAGACTGTCCTCCTGGAGTCAGTTTGGTCAGTGTAATGCAGCTTGCTTGTGCATTTAGGACAGAACTTTTTAGCAGGAATTTGACTGTATACAGAAATAATAACAGTTCCTGTTACTGCATAATGTTCATGGGGTTTATGCTCTTAATTCCACAGAGGGTTTGACTCTTGTGGAGTATCTTGAATCCATTCTTTAAATGTCTTCATCTGCCTGTGGAGCCTCTCAAGCAGCCCACTCTTTCTGCAGTAGATGTGAGAAGTATGTTCAGAGTTAGGAGAATTAATTCAGCTTTATTTTATTATTTCTCCTTCTCATTGTGGTCAATGGACTGGGTTGAGCCCCAGATTTTATTCCGCGTTATTTCCTGATAGAAGTGACAAACCTTTGTGTGGGCTGTATGGGCTTGGTATTCTGATACAATCACTCGATTTGAGGTAGTCACTTCAGCCCTTAACTCTGTCTGCGCTGTTGCCCTGTGAAATTAAGGGATAAATTACAATATTTGGCAGGAGAGATGACAGTATTTTAATGCAGCTCCTTGTAATTTGCAGAATTACTTTCGCCTTGTACCTCTGTTCGGAAATCGTTGGAGAGCTGGCTAACTGCATTTTGCTCCATCTCCTAAAGAAAATGGGCTTTGCATGTAGGAGCTGTGCAGCTCTTATCTGAGGATGTGATTGCTTCTGAACAGCCGATTGGATTAGGGGGTCAGCTGGCAGATGTTCTTGGCTGTGCAGAGCATGTTAAAAGAGTTGTAGCATTTACATTTTTCTATTTCTGCTCCTATTTGAATGCACTTACACAGCATGCCGTTGCTAAGCTATTTAATATGTAGTTCTACATGATGAAAGGTTAAATATGAGTTAAGGGGGGTTTATTGCTTGAATATTCTTTTATAGGTTTTTAGGATTACTACAAGAAAATGCATCTTATTTTCCAGACTCATGAATTCCAGGGATTATTTTTTTATTGATTGCTCTCATACATATTCTTGTCAAGATTTTCCCTCCTTCTCTTTCCTCCCCTCTCTCTCTTCCCCAGTCCTGCTAAAGGACAAATATCATAGCAAGTAGCTTATCCCCTTTATATATGCTGTATATATTTAATCAAACATTTTTAAAGGATTGGGAGTATTTGTTATGGCAGGCATGGCAGGAAAAAGATGTAATGTATTTAGAATGTAAACTTACTGCTTTCATTAAAATGAATATTTTATTCTTAATGACATTTTCTGCTGTTCACTCTGGAATATGAGAAATACAGACAGTTTGCCCATTAGAATTGCAAGTACTTCCCCTGAAATTGCATACAGGAGTTTAAGGAAAGGGAAAAGGAGCAGGTAGTGGTGCATTTACAGACCAGATCTCTCAGAAGCAATTGTGAAGGTGTGTGAATT